AAAAAGGCGTTCTACTTTTACGGACTATATACTCCAACGAGGCAAGCACTTAGTCTGACAGGGGTTTTTTGGCGCTAAGAAGCGCCGGTAGGATGTGAAACAGCAGAATTGCGGACTTGGTAAGGAGGAGGGGGAATTGAATGAAAACAGCCGGGTGGTCTTCATTAACCAGCAAAACTTTAAAAACCCTGATAGAAAGGAAAAAAATAGCCCTACCAAGCAATTGTCCTGCTTTGCCAGATCGGACTGGTCAGGTATATAAGCCGGTTCGTCGATATACCGTTGATCCCGTACCACACAAGATTCGTTTAGTTTATCTTCACGAATTTTATAAATCAAAAAATTTGGACCATTTAGTACAGTAACAAATATAATTACGGAAGCAATGGCAATGTATGAATGTTTCAGGCCTATCTGCAAAATGGAAAAAGGAAAATAAATAAATAACAAAGAAAAAATAACAGAAAAATTAAAAGTAATAAAAAACGTGATCAAATCCAACAAACTACCACGAGATTTTTCTTCAACTAAACTTTCTGTTAACCTAATAAACCAAATTTTCATAATCATATTTTTAAGCATCTCTAAGCTTTTCTCTTCTAATGCAATTACCATGTCTTATCGTTTTGCAAAAAAAAAAAATGTTAAAATAAAAATAAAAAATTTTTTCCTTTTTAAACAAATTATAACAATCCCTTATATATAGTAACAATAAATGCGACAAATAAAAAGTTTTCTTCAGAAAGATTTTTTTCTAAAAAGAAAAAAGTTCTTCTATCGTATTTAATGACTTTAACTATGTCAAATGTACAACGATCAACAGCAACTGAACGGATTCAGTTATTTAATCAGCCATATCAGTCCCATAAAATAGCATGTGCTTTATAAGGCTTCAGCGAAGAAATTTTATGTAAAAATGTACCTTTTGTGAAAGAGAACCCGTACGATTGCGTAATGTCATATATCGTAAAAATGCGAGCATCACTAAAAAAAAAAAAGAAAGGTATAAAACGGTATGAAATTTTTTTCTTGACAAAAGAACAATTAAAATAAAAAACAAAAAAAAAAGTAATTTTTTTCTTATTGTCATAAAGTGAAATTTAATGCTTTATTGACTGGCAACAATATGGTAAAGCGTAAATTGAAACAACAGATAAAGAATAGAAAAAGTTCATATTCTCAGTCTATAAGCTTCTTTTTTTTTTTTTTTTT